CCCATCCCATGCCCAACCTGCTTCTGCCAAAACCCTGTGACAGAGCCCATCCCCACCCTGTGACCTGTCCTGAGGTGACTGCTTGGAGATACTCGTTGTGCCCCATCACACAGGCTCTCACGTACCAAAATATGGCAAAGGCCTGGGTGCTCATCGCTTCGGCAACAGCTCCTCTGTGTGGGACCATGCTGGGGCTCGAGGCAACTCAGCTGCTCCCGGTGGCCTCTGCCCCGCTGCCTTTGAGCAAGGTGACAGCAGCACAGATGCCACACATCTGCTCTTTTATTTGCAGTCTTGGCAAAGAAATGAAGGGAGAGGTAAGTGGAATAAAAGCAGTAGGTAACGCAGAGCTGCTGTGCTTTACATTTCCCACGGTGACGAAAACAAATCGCCCTGCGTGAAGTGCGGCCATGTTTGGGGGGAGAGAGGAGCTGGGGAGGTTGTTCTGTTAGGGGGGATTTTTTAAAGGACTATTTCCTCTTGGGGTGTCCTGTCTGCTCAGCACAAAGCACAGCCCCATACTGCCACTGCCAAGGGTCCCGCCAGTCACTTAGCAAGGGCTTGCAGCAGGGCCAGCGTGCAAATGGCTTCAGGAACCTTCTTGGTTCAGCCTCTCTCACCCATCATGTCAACATCAGTTACTGCTTTATGAACGTTTAAAGGCCTCAGGTACACGTGCACAGTCTGCTACAGCACGGTTTTCCCCCAGCATGGCAGGGAGGAGACACCAGTTCCATCCCAGTGACATGCTGGGACCCGCAGCACAGCTGTGTCTGATTACGGGTCTGGCAGCAGGTGCCATCCGCCGTTCCCTCCTCTTCACCCCCAAGGGAAAGACAACATGCCCAAGACCTTCATCTCCCTGTGCCAGGGGCACCTGCTCTCATCTGTGACTTCCCCCTGTGACTCCTTCCCCTTCTTCTTTTCCCTTTCATCCCACTGCACCGCTGGAGCAGCACGGGCAGCCTCTGCTGTTCAGAGCTTCTCCTTCATTTCTCTCTGCGTTTTAAGCTCTGTGAGGCAGAGCCCAGAGCCTTTAAAACTACAGACATCAGTTATCGCCACAGGCTTTTCGTCCCACGCAAGGGTGCAATAGGCAATGCAAATAGCACAAACAAAATGTTTGATATTTAATGATCCTACTCTGGATGGGGAAGATGTGCTCTTGAGCAGGAGTTGCTTTCTCAAGCTGCTGCAATGCAGAAGGATCCCTGTCTTTCATGACTAATTGAGCCCTAATGATTTTCCTTTATCACCCAAAATGAAAACAAAAGATTTAAGGGGTAGTTCAGTTCACTGTGGTGCTGTGGGTCCTTCTATTCATTTATTATTCCCCACAAAAGCCATGCTTTGACTCGTTCTTCTGAACCCACTTCTCTCTGCTGTTGCTGCTGCTTTTGTATCAGTCGCCTTGCCTCTGACAATCTGAAAACAGCTGCTATGGCTCATGCAGCCTCTGCCGGCAGCAAAGGCCCCTGGACCATGCCCATTTGCCACACCATCCTCCAAAAACTTGTGGATTTGGGCTTTTCAAAACAAGTGTGAATTCCCAGGGTCACATAGGCAGGCACTGTGCTGGGAGGGAGGCATGGGCGCACAGCCGGCTCCAAGGCACAGGAAGGAGCTCACCCTCAGCTTCCATGCCAGGAATGCCAGAAAAGACCAGGGTAGAGCAGATCTTAAAGCAACAATGCTTCATTCTCTGCAGCCGGGAGGCAATGATTTGGGATGAGACGCTTGCTTGCCCTGACTCCCTGGAAGTGAAGCCTACTGCCCCCCTTCCCAGCAGGCTGCCTCTCTCACCAGCAGCAGGGTGCATATTTAACAGGGAGAAGAAAGGGAAGACTTGTTTTTCCAAGGAAAACACCCAGCGTGTGCATCACACACACCTGCCCCTGCACTGAGCCCTGCGTTCAAGCAGAGGCTCTGAGGTAAGGCAAAGAGGGGGCTGAAGATAATCTTGCAGCCAAGTAACTCTGCAGATGGCAGTGGCTCAAATCACTATACAGCTCTTTTGGGCTATTTGCTGCAATTAAGGCTGGGCTCCAAGGTGCCACTGCAGCCCCACGACAGGATTCTGAATCTCTGCTCTTTTTCAAAGCCACCTCCAGAGCTGTCCTTGAGACATCAGCGCTGGGGTTAATTGGAATCAACAGGAAAATTGGCCTCCAGAGGGAGAAACGCAGATGCCGGGTGTGTGTGAGCTAGGGGGAAAGAAGCCGCACTGCTGCAGGGGCCCCAATGTCCCTTTGCACTGCAGCAGTGGGTAGCAGCACCCACGAGAGCAGTGGCTCCGCATCTGCCCTAAGCCCACTGCCCGCACCCCAGCAGCCAGACCCCAGCATGGAAAGCCCATGGGCGTCGGTGCTGCTGCCGAATGCAAGCAGTCCCCCTGTGCCCATGGGAAAGGCTGAGGATGGATTTGGCCCTTGCAGCTGCCACCTCTCTGACTTCAGTGTGGGCACCGAGCTCACCGCTGGGGTGCTGATGGGATCTCCAGGGGGGAGAAAAGCAGAGCTGGAGCCTGGCCACAGGCTGCTGAAACACAAAAGCTGGGTTTTGTGAAGAGCAAGGCCACCCCCTACCTCCCTTGCCCCTACGAGGTGCTCTGGCAGCGGTGCGGAGTTGCAGACTCACGTCATTTTTCTAAGTATTCCTCATCTCCTTCAACGCCGTTAACCACACTGTTTCAATTAACAGACCTGAACCACTGAGCAGACCTGTCCTGCACTAATATGTTATTAATTGGGTCAGCTTGGATGGCAGCAATATTGAGCGCCATGCAGCTCTGAGCTTTCATCTTCTGATCAGGCTCATTTAATTGATCTAATCGCGTCCCCCCTGTCACAGGGGCCCTCTTCACTTTATCCCTCCCTACCCACCTCCGAGTAATCAGATACATCTTCTGCATTGTCTGGTATCAGCTACACACTGAAGAGAGTCATATCTAATTTACAGTACTCTCCCAAGAAAAATCAATGATTGTTTACATTACTATCCTACAATCCCCATTTTAAAGTAATTCATGGCAGGCTCAGGGCTATTAATTTTATTAGTGGGCAGATATTATTCTGCTCCATTGATCCCCGGTTGATGCAATTACCAGTTGCGAAGCTAGCGCTGAAAGTCTGAAAATTTCAGTTCTGTTTGCAGACTGAAGCTCTGTGTTAAAAATGTGCCAAGCCAGATGCTGGTGGAGAGAACTGACTCAAAACAAACAAGGAACTGCCCACATTTTATAACTTCAATCCCTTTAAAGCAGGGGTACAGCCTGGACCCCAGTCATTCCCAAATGCCCCATGCCATAGGGAGAGACATACCCAAATACGCTCTTCAAGCCTCCCAAGTCCTACAGTTCATAGAAAACTCATCATCGTGGTTTATCAGTTAGCTGAAACATTCGCTGCTGTGAATGGGAAATTTTACAGATGAAACTAAGTTTGGCCCTGTCTGCACAGAAAATAAACCAAAAGCCAGGACAGGTCCGTGTCCAGCTGAGCGCGCATTCCGCTCTGTTTGCAGAGGATGAATTTCACCCAGAGGCCTCAGGTTGCCTTTTCCTCTTCTCCATGTAAAAAAATTAAAAGCAGAGCAGTGTGGGAAAACTGAGACACAATGGGGCAAATCAAACATCACCAGGAAATCCAACAGCACAGGATCTGATCATTAGAGGTGTGAGGGGTCCTGTGGGGCAGGAGAGTACAGGAATTCCCATCAATAGGGTCCACCACATTAAGAGGCCATGTGGGTGCCCAGTGTGGATCCCAAGGCACAAAACCTTCATTTTAGACAGTAGAAATTAAAAAATGTAGTTTGGATTAAAAATAAGGGCTCACCCTTAAGCAGCTTGGAAAAACTTCAGCTCAACCGCATCCTTTTGATCACGGACAGAAATGGGCTTTTTGTGCATTTGCGTGTCAATAAAAACCTGCCACTCAAGGAACAGGATAAAAGAGAGAAAAGAAAGACAGTCCTTGCCCCAGCTGAGACCTGAGACTGGCTCCAGAGTGCCCCCAGAAGAACTGCTGGTTCCTGACGAGCAGTAATGCTCTGGAGAGGCTGATTGATTGATTTACAGGACCTACCGCTTTCAGCTAGGATGGTGGTTTGACATTATAAACCAGCAGTCTCGTTTCCAATGCCAAACAAATAAACGAAGAAAGAAATGCTTCTCTCCACAATTGAGAGATGTTGTGCAGCTGGGAAGCTGCATGGTGCCGCGGGAGGGTCTGTGCTGAGGGCTTGGTGAGCTGCCCCACAGCCAGGATGTGAGAGCAGAATCCATGCCTTTTGGCTGGGATGCTCCTCACTGCCTGCCTTCTGGTCCCTGCTCCTGGCAGGCTCAGACACTGAGATTCATCTTAGGGGCAGCGGTGGCAGCATCCCTAAGTGCCCCTGGCACCCCTGGCTGGGGTAAGAGTGTGGCACATACCTACCCTCAGTGGGGTGTTTGGGGGGTGGAGGAGTGGGCACAGCAACTTCCCAACCCCAATGGCTCTTACCCTCATCATGAACAAAGGTGTTTCTCAAGGTGGTGCTGAAATAGAAGTTTAGATTCATGAGAAATTCTGCTCCTGAAAAGGATGGATTTTAGCATTTCCCTGTCCTTATGCTTTTTAAACTATCTAAAGTATGCCTATGTAGGTTTTTTTAACCCTTTTGGAGAGGGCAGGATTGGGGTCGAAGCTTGCTGTTCCTGTGGGAACTGGGGTGTGAACAGCTGGAGCACCATGACCTGTGTGCTGCAGAGGTTTTTGGAGCCCAGAGCAAGGACCAAGCCTGTTAACAGCTCTCTCTAGGCAGACCAGAAACACATTAGCCCAGTGCCTTTCCTGGTGCTTGACACCTTTCACCGGGGTATATTATAAGCAAAGCCCTCCCCTGCCTCTCCATCCTGATAGCCCAGAGTCCCTCACTGGAAACTGTGATAGCGTTTGGCTCATCAGCATATCAGGATCTGTTTTATTTTATCTGCCCACAAAAGCCTGCATGCAGGGATAGATCAGATTAACATGGCTGATGAAAAAATCCTCCTCTTTATCCTCTCTGACAGCAGCAGCCCTTTATCAACAGTCTGAAAACAAAGTTTTCTGAGCCATAAGTTTTCTGCCTCGGGGGTTCATTTTTTATTTTTTTCTAGTAGAAGTTTATTTTTTCCTCAAGAAAAATCAAAATATTTTGATGGGAGATTTTTCAGCCATCCTTATGCATTAGACGTGGTGGCAGACAGGCCTGGCACATCAACATCTGCTCCTTCTCACTAGATTTAATTTAATATCTGGTGTATGAGCACTAACCCTCCCTCAGAGCTCCACTGGAACCAGCTCAATGAGATGTACCTGGCGTGGAGAGAAGAAAATAGCTCCTTTTCTGAGAGTTTCCAAATGCTTTTCCAGAGTGACCCTATCATCGTTTTATCCCCTCTTACAAAGCTAACTTCATAATGCCCTCCAATGAGGCTTTTGGGAGGAGAGTGTTATAAATTGCAGCTCAGTGAATCTGCCACTCACTGCTGCTAATATACTGCATTTATCCTTGCTGCTGCAGAGGCTGTGGCAGTGAAAGGAGGAGAGAAGGAGAAAAGTAATTACTTCCCTCTCAGCTTGTCACCAAATCCCTTCATCAGCTCTCTCACGTCTTTCTCAGCTCTGTTAGTGACTCGCCACGCTCTGTCATGCGGGGACTGGATTCAGTGGCACTGGTGTTAATGGGGCATGAGGATGGGAAAGCGGTTGTGTACCACAGGTACTGGGAGCCCCCTTGGTGCCCAGCATGCCCCATGCTGTCCTGCTTCATGCACTAACTCCCATGAGTCCAAATGGCTGCTTGAATGCCATTAGGATCTCCTAATCGTGATATGGGTTTATTTCAACCAGGAAGTCTTATCCCCAAAGCATCCCCAGTGTAGAATAAGGGGAGTTGTCCTCTCCATTTTTTGGATGTTTTCTATTTAAATATCCTTCAAAGGTTACAGATATGAGAGAGCCCAGTGTTAAACTCTCTGTCCCCCAGAGAGGGCTCAAACTCCACATCCTCATTCAGTGATGTGGATCAGACAGACACTGAGTTAAAAGCAAAGATACTGAATCATGAAATAAAGCCAAAATGAGGCCAATTTGCTGGTTGGTGCAGAGATTTCGAGGAGCAGCATCATCTTTCTAACATCTGAAATTAGGTGGGATATCAAGAAGCCCTTATCTGGGGCATGTATTAAATTGAAGACAAATATTTTGACCAGCACATTACGAGACATTTTATTGTTTTCCTTTAAGTCCTGCAAGGTCAAATAAAAGACAATCAGCAAGGGCCATTTTCCTCAGGGAAGGTGGTGGACATGGGGACCAGTGGTGATGCAGTGAAGGTATCCCGCTTAACCAGCCTGGCACTGCCATCATTGGGGTGTCATGCACTGAAACCAATGTGCCATGTGATAAATTTGATGCACTTCATGCTGAAATTGATGCATCACCTTTGGAATCAAATTTATCACATCTTCCATCACACTCCATATACTGAATCAGAGTCACCACCTACTGAATTAAAAACTTCACATGCAGTTCACATCACATCATAAATCAGGCCAAAATGGAATTAAATGCATTGTATGCTAAGAACTCATTCATCACCCTATAAATTAAACATGGGACACGCCTCTTAGGGTGGATGTGCCCAGATAAAGCCTGCAGAGTCCACTGGGGAAAACATGACACCACTGAAGTCACTGAGGGCTTGGCCATTAATTTCAGTTATTTCTTTCAATGCCAGAATCTACTGTGTACCACGTCTAGCTCTGTCCTGGACCAGCCCAAAACTTGCATAGCCAGCAACATCTGCTTTACTGACTCCTGCTGAACCATCCACACTCTCCACTGGGAGGTTTAGGTTAAGAGCCTGGAGGAGAGAAGTAACTTGGACTCCAGCTCTGCTCCTGCATGGGGCAATGGCAGCAAGAAGCTGAGAGGGCTTTGCACTCCTTGCTGTCAGCTACCACACAGCATGGCACACACTCGGCACCTCTTGTCTTCAAAGGACCGTGCTCCACAAAAAGCCAGGCTAAAAGTTCCATGTCCTTGTTCCTGGAGAGGAGGATCTTTCTCCTGAGCCCTCAGCAGAGCTGCACAGGGCTGGGCTGGGGGGCTCTGCTGCATGCCTGACACCCTTTTTGCAGTCTTTGGACTTCAAGCAACAGGAGGAAAAAAATCAGGCTCAGGGATCCATGTGGTGCCAGAGCATCGCAGAGTTGAGCCCTTGGCAGCAGGCATTGCTAGTCCTGCATGACAGGCAGGAAACGGAACACAGAGCAATGGGGCAAAGATAATTCTTAAATAAACCTCCTTTTCATTACCTACATTCATTTTGGCTTTTCTGACAGCACCTCCCTGTGCACTTTCACAGCACAGGAACCTTATTCCTGTCCATTCCTGTTCCCCAGGGAAATGCGAGACAAACTTCCAGCTCATCTGAAACGCAAGGCAGTCAGATACATCCTTGGATCTAGTCCACAGTCTTCCCTTTTATTTTCCTATTCATCTGGTCCTCTCAAAATCTGCTCAGGAGCAATTAGAGCCTGTCAGCTAGAAGCTGATGCAACTTCTATTTAATTAGCCCAGCAGCCAATAAAGATCTCATTCATCAATATCTCATGGAAGGTGTGGTTGGTGGGGGGAGATTTGTCATTTCTTCCATACATCCAGATGGCTGCGGAGCATCTATCAGCGATCCAGTCACATGCATGGGCTCATCTGAGGAGGCAGACCAGCTGGGAGACATCTGTCCAGAAAGCAGTTACAGGAGAAAATGGTGCAAGAATGTCCCAGATGCTCTGGTAGCAAGTCCCATTGGTAACTCAGTCTGCAGACCATGGATAACCTGGGCAGCAAGTGACCGTGGTGGGATGAGCAACTTTCACAGAATCATAGAATCAGCTAGGTTGGAAAAGACCTTTAAGATCGCCAAGTCCAACCATTATCCCAGCACTCCCAAGACCACCACTAAACCACGACAGCGAGGGCCTCATCCACACAGTTTCTGAACACTTCCAGGGACGGTGACTCCACCACTGCCCTGTGCAGCCTGTTCCAATGCATGATCACCTTCTCTGTGAGGAAAGTTTTCTTAATATCCAATCTAAACCTCCCCTTGTGAAGCTGTTACCTCTTATCCTATCACTGTTACCTCAGAAAGAGATCAGCCACCCACTCTCTCCATCCTCCTTTCAGGTAGCTGTAGAGAGCAATAAGGTCCCTCCTGAGGCACCTTCTCTCCACACTAAACAACCAGTTCCCACAGCCATTCCTCATCAGACTTGTGCTCCAAACCCTTCACCAGCTCTGTTGCTCTTTTCTGGACCCACTCCAGCACCTCAATGTCTCTCTTGCAGTGAAGGGCCCAGAACTGAATGCAGTATTCAAGATGCAGCCTCACCAGTGCTGAGTACAGTGGGGCAGTAGCTTCCCTAGTGCTGCTGGCCACGCTATTTCTGATAAAAGCCAGGATGCCATTGGCCTTGGGAGTCCTTTTTCTCTTCTGACCCATTTCTATGCCCTTCCCAGCAACACAAAAGGGCAGAGATGAATTGAAGGAGGCTTGAAGAGATAGGGTTTTGCTCCATACCTGCTGCCTTTGCCATTGGAAGGCATGAAAGCTCCTCTCACTACGATGTCTCACTGAGAATAAACACACTAGAGATGGGAAAGCAGGAGAGGGGAAATTAATACCCAGACTGACAGATCTCAGCAAAGTTTTGGGGTGTTCAATATGACAGAGAAAGCCTTTGGGGAGACACCCTCTTGCCTGAAAGCTTCTCCTTACATTGACTGTCAGCGTATTAAATACTTGCCTGCCCTTCTCGTGCCAGACCACCAAAACAGGACACTTTTGGGTTGGGCTTTTCCCAGAGGCTGGGCAGGGTGGCCAGGAGGATGGGAGGGGAACATAAACCTGTACCCATGAGGTCACTGTACTTTGTGTCACAAAAAGGAGGATTCACCAGTTCAGACCTGCAGGAGTGGGTCCCTGTGGGAGTTGCTTGCCAACATTGTTTGCAGCTTCACCATCACAATTCATTGAACTAAAAACAAAATAATCAGTTATCACAGGACAGTTCATAGATTACAAACAGGAGTGATGGCAACTTCATCGTTAATGATTATGAGAAAGCAGCTTAATAGTTTGGTTCCTTGTGGCTGGTTTGATTTGTAAGACACAGCAGCTGGTGTAAGCAAAGCAGGTAATTGGAGCCAGTTTACCCTTGTTGTGTCCAGCTGGTAGCTGCACTTCACAAAGTTGCATATTCATTTTTTCTCAAACATTAACCCCCATCAGCAGAAGATGGAGCATGGAGCTGCAAATGGAACCACTTCAAAAGATGGGAGATACCTGGGCACCAGATGACCAGCAGCTTCTTCCTGGATGTTGCTGTGGTCAGCAGATCCCCCCAGCATTCATTCACAGAGAAAATGCCTGTGCTCAGCTCAGGGGTCTGAGCCACCTGGCTCTTCAGTAGTTATTAACAGGAATATCATAGCTGGAATATTACCGTGATTGATGCTGCATCAATCAGCTGGAAAAGCGTTAAGCAAGCCTCAAAAAGAAGCGAGATGAAGCCTTAGATACCAGGCTAAGATGTCCATATAATGGGGATTACTCCAGGATTGAAAACAGATGTGCAGACAGGCTGAAATACACAGCTGTGCCCTCTCCCTGCTGCTCCATGCTGGCCACCCCTAGTTCCAAGGGAAGTGAGTAATGAGTGCTTACATTGCAATTGGGGATGGGCAATTAGCAGAGGGCACATACAAACTGTATTCAGCATGAGTCTATGGTTTTACTGCTTATCAAATAAAAAGTAGTGAAGAAACATTCTTTATCGACACATTATTTCAAGCCAAGCTGTGGTGCTTGCCTGCTTTTGTTCTGTTCCACCAAGTCTTGTTTGATTTGGCTTATTTTTGCTTAAGACCAATGTGATACACTCCACTCAGAGTTGCCAACGTTAGTCATTTTTGCTGGTGTGACATTTGGTATTTCAGAACTCCTGGGGGGAAGGGGGGGGGGGGTGCTTTTAAGGAGAGTCTCAGATTTTCTTGCATTAAAATACAATATCTGTGGCTAGGCCACTTGTGGAGAAACTGACGTGCAACATCCAGCTTCCCAAACCCAAAAGCAAACAAACAAACAAACAACCTCCACAAAATCAACCAACCAAACAAAACACTCTCAAATGTGTTATCTTTTAATCATCTGTGATTTTCAAACAATATTCCCTTGGGGAACCCAACTCACAGATTTTTCTGCTAACAAAAGATAATTTTACTTGAGAACAAATTCATTCCTCATCTCCAAAGCCTAGCTCGCACACTAGTGAATTCCTGTATTGTGTACACAAAGCCCATGGTCAGAAACCACAGGGCAGAAATGGCCAAGTGCCCAGCACGTGTTCCAAAGGGGTGCTTCATGCTTCTTTCGAGTTCCATGTTCTAATGTTTTTTTTCTCCAAGAAGATGCCCCAGATCTCCCTGAGGGATGCGTCAGGATTTCCCATCAGGTGTAGCACCCTCCTTGCTTCAACTGAAGCCGTCTACGCAAAAAACAACCTTCCCAGGCAGACACTGGTACTTCAGCCCTTTCTATACCCTTCACCCTCTGCTCAGACCTGGATCAGGCAGAGAGGAAGCTGCTGCAGACCACGGATGTTTTACCAGCTCCTGGTACTGAACGTTTCCCAGTGCTGCCCCCGGTGCTTTACCAAGGACCAAATCCATCAGGTTCTTCTGGGTATCTCTTTTCTATGAAGGCTCCAGGTGGTCTCCTCACTCCCATGCTTGTGCTCAGGGAGGACCTGTCTTTTAAAGCACTTACAAACTGAACATACCCAGCAAGCTCCGGGTTGGGAGAGAAAAACATCTGCTTTTACCAGCCCATCATGTTAAGTTTCTATGTTTAAGATGACTTCATAAACTAAGAAAATAATAACAGGTCTAAGCACTCTGATCTCTGCTTATAAGAATTGGAGGGAATAAATCTAAAATATTAGCCTCAAGGATCGGATGTAATTCAAAGTGTCAGTGCTAGTTCTCCTACTGCACTTTGTAGGTTTAGAGAATAAACTTGTTTGCTAGCAAACAATCATCTTAAACAAGATCATTATTAATCCCAAATACAGCTGTCAAAAAGACTGAGATTGTAAACTAAGAAGGGAACAAGAAAAACCTGGTAATTTGTTTGTTAAATATTTGCAAACTGTCATACCAATAATGGATAATAAGAAAATTCTGGCCCTCCAGAACTGATGCATAACACAAAGCTTTGCTGTATTGCACCTGAACTATTATCTATAGCACATTTATTATTATAATAGATTAAAAACAAGTTTCCTGGCTGAAAAACAAGATCAATTTGAGCTCAAGCTATTTGGATGTTTTCTAAATGTTGTAATTAAAATGCAGCATGAATGTTCCTTGGGAAAAGTGAAAAAAAAAAGAGAGAGAGAGAAGAATAGCCTTACTAGAATTACATACACCATTCAGCTCTGACTCAGTAACCTGAGAGAAAAATAACAAGCAAAATTGTGTTTGTGTGCAGTCAGACATTTCTCATCTTCAGGGCTTGATGCAGGGCCTAAGCTAACAGAGCTTTTCCTACTGCATCAGGATCCAGCCCCAGGCTTGAGAATTTGATGTAGGCAGTCAGCCTAGATTGCACTGAGCTCCCTGTGCAAGTCAGGATTTGATTAGAGTCCAGCAAAGAAACCCAGCTGAGCATTATCTTGCTACAAAGAGAGCTGTAGTTTATGGGGAAAACAAAACCCAAGCAACTGTAGAAAGAGATAAAGGAGCCACCTGTGTGAAAGGTTTCACAAATGCCTGGGGGATGGAAATGGTCCCGAGTGACATTTGACCCCTGCCCAGTGTTATCACAGACATCAAAACCTGCAGGAGACAAATATGATTCTCACCTCCCTGGGCAATTAGAGGCACACAGGCACTTCCCAGAAGCTGCCTGCCACCCTGCAGAATTGGGCTCTTTTGTTCTGGTAAAGAAGTGACTAGTGAGTTACAGAACCTCTCTAAATAAATGCATTCTCTTATGTCTTTTAATCATAAGCCCTGCAAGGCTCCTAATACCCACATGTGCGATCCACATCAGCCCATCAGATCAGTTTATCAAAGGGGCCTAATTTAATCCCAGTCTTTGATGGAGACAGGAGTGGCCAAAGTCTGTCTTAATGATTTGCTACATTTACTTAGCTTGCAGATCTGTGGCGTGAAGGGCACTTGACTCCAAGCACAGCATTGATAATGGGAAGGACACCTTTATGAGGAAAAGTGCCTTCTCTTCCTCTAACAAGCTGAAAAGGGGCTCAAAACTTTCAGAGTTGAGCAAGTTCAGCCAAGGTGCATCTTTTAAAACCACTGGGATGTATTCTGTTCCTTGTCAGCCCAGTAGGTCAGTTGGCCCCAGGAGACACAATACACTGACACCAGCTAAGAAACGCTGAGCAGATGTGAGCAGAAACCCAAAGGAAGGAGCCCAAATCCCAGTCTTTAAGGGACGCTGAACGATGAACAGCATTAGGATTAAACACACTGAAGATCAGATTCTTATGGAAAAGCTAGAAGCCCAACCTTCTTCAGAAAGAAGAGTGGAGCAGTGTTTCACTCCACGGTAAGTGATGGATGTGTACACGCTTAAAAATCTGCAAAGAAACCCCCCAAACCTTTCCTAGGCAAAAAACATCTGATTCTGAAGCACCCAATGGCTTTTAATAGTTTTCAGCTCAAACAGAAGAGGGAACTCAGAGTCTGCATTAAGGAAGCTTGAGGAGTGCTGTGGGCTGTGAGAAATGAAGAGCAACCCCTTTGGTTTTAAGCAACATAACAAAAGGATGCTGCATAGGAGGATCAAAGAAGTCCTCCAATAGAAATTTAAAGGACTATACCAGCACCATTACCACAGAGGGATTCGTCATGGCACTATCACAGGTTCTGCAGAAGATGGATGGACCATCTGTCTTCAAACAGGCAAGGCCCTTTAGCTATTTTATAGAGAGTGCAAGTGCTCAGGACAACCTTGGGGAGGGGGGGGGAGAAGGAAAGGAAAACAGTAACATTGGCTTCAAAATCAGAGCCACAGCCAGCACACAGCAAAGGGTGAAATGCAAACATTACCCAGGCTGGCTAATCCCCACAAAGGGACTGCTGGTTAAAAGCATATCGAATTCTATATAAAGTGTCAGGAAGCAAAGCTGGTGCTGACAGACCATGAATGGCATGCAGGTGGGCTGGCCAGTGCTGGGACATGGGAACTGCAGCCCCCAGAGAGGCATCTGAGCATCCACTGGCCTCTGCTGAGCTCACGACACAGCAGGATCTGGACTGCATGGCCTCACATTGTGGGGAGCCACCATGACTGACAGCAGCTCACCTTTTTGAAAGGCGGCATCTCCTGGGGTCTGCTGAATTCCTGCTGGCCTGTATCAGCTCTGACTTGGGCAGGAAATATCCAAATTGGCACAGCACCTCTGAGAGGCTTCTGTCTTCGGTAGGGACAGCATGAAGGCCTACTTGGAGTGTTTTGATACACAGATTAAACAAATAAAGGCTTCAAACAGATTTGAGTAGAGCCAGACCTCAAAGCAACCAAATTCATTTTCACTCAAAGAAAACTCCTCTTGTGGGTGGGCACATAACACAGCGAGGTCTGGGACATGCCAGTTACCCGAGACCTGGTTGCTGTGTTGGGCAAGTAGATGAAGAAGGAGGAGAAAGTGCCTCACTGCAGGTGAGCAGCACAAGCGTGGGTATCTGTGTCAACTGCCCAGGCACACAGCCTGCTGCTCCTCACCCAACAGTTTCAGTAGCTGACGCCTGCCAGCACCACAGTAATAACAGGGGTCTCCCAGCAAAACACCAACACCAGGTTTTAAAACATGCCAGTCAAACCTGGGAAGGACACAGAGCCAGCCCCACTGACACCAGCAATCACTGCTCCAGCACTGCTAGCAGAGGAGCCAACCCCACTTCACCAGATGCAGTGTCCTCACTGATGGGAGATCTGTTGCAGATGCAGCCCACTGAGCACACACTAGTGCTGTGATGAACACAAGCCGAGTGGCTTTCTCCTACTACTCTGCAAGACTCACAAACTAACTGATGGCAGAGGGCTCCAGAGCCTCCAGCACAAGTGGGAGGCTGGAACGAGCAGCCTGACCTTAAATAATGTATGAACAAAGGCCAACTAAAACAACCTGGGTCCACAGGCAGCAGAAATGGACCCCCATGGCTGGTAACAGCAGCGTTTGGGGCCAGAAGTCCCTGCAGCTTGACAGGGTACAACACAAGGGCTGCCTGTGGGAAGCTAACTGGGCACAGGATAGATAGGAAGGACACACAGAGATACCGGACTACCCCAATAATTCTAAAGCTATTTGCCTGCAGAAGAAGGGGGCCTATAGAGATGCTGGGGGGGGACTCTTCGTTAGGGACTGTAGTGACAGGACAAGGGGTAACAGGTTAAAACTTAAACAGGGGAAGTTTAGATTGGATATAAGGAAGAAGTTCTTTACTGTTAGGGTGGTGAGGCACTGGAATGGGTTGCCCAAGGAAGTTGTGAATGCTCCATCCCTGTTGGTGTTCAAGGCTGGGTTGGACAGAGCGTTGGGTGACATGGTTTAGTGTGAGGTGTCCCTGCCCATGGCAGGGGGGTTGGAACTTGATGATCTTAAGGTCCTTTCCAACCCTAACTATTCTATGATTCTAAGATGCATTGGGCCACACAAGGCTGTGAGAAGGAGCCAGGGCCAAAACAAGCCAGGGCAGATGCCCTACTGCCACCCAGATATTGGCTCTGCCTGATTTCTGCCCAGACATGGTAGTCCTGTGGGCAAGAAGCTTTTCTGGCTGCAGAAAAGTGGGCAGCATTACCCAGGACAATCCCTAAGAAGGCATGCTGTTCCTGGCAGCAGAGAGGCTGCATGAGAGGAGGAAGGAATAAGCAAGGTGCTGATAGCTGGCAAAGTCATGAGGGAGAAGTCTGAGTAACTTCTGGGCAGGGAAGATCAGCATGTGGGACTGAGGGGGCTGACTGCTAGCAAAGGGAGTCATCTGGAGCTAACCTGAGAGACTGCAACAAGAGGAAAACCAAGCTGCAGTTTGGGAAGGGTACGTGTCTTCCACAAGTCAGTTCAGCTTCTTTTCCTTACACGCACAGGTAGCTGGAACAGGACAGGCCAAGCAGACTGAACAACATATGCAATGACAAAAAGTAATCTAAAAAGTGATGTTTGCTTGATTTTTGTGCCTTCAGCTTGCCTGCCAGTTGCCACACTGCTGGATTCCAACTACAGCTCCTCCTTGCTCCACCTGAATTGTTACACTCTGGGTTAGGGTTTTAGTTTCTGTAAGCATATTAAAACTTTAATTAAGCCATAAACCAGTACTTTAGCAGTTCTGAGGGGAAGTTTTTCCATTTATCTTGTTGATTACAGCTCACAGGCCCTTCGTTTTGGCCTAAATTTAGACCAATTCTGTCTGAGCTCTGCAGTATATATGCTAAAAACTTCATTAAAAATGAAGAGAGTTGATCAGCCAGCCGTGGGAGCCTGGAGTGTGTCTGCTCTGCATCCTGGCATTCTTCTGATCTACAGGTAGTAGAGGCAAGTTAATGTTGATCTGCTAGTAAAACACATTATGGGAAGACCTTCAGAGGACGCTGCAGCTCCTTGATTCAATGTTCACAAAGAAACAACTTGTTTCATTCCTTGTTGACCACCTGACATGGCAAGGAAGGAGGATGGATTTTAAGCAAAGCAATTATTTTCCTTTGGGCAATTTCTGCAGTGAAGCACAAGCCCTTCTCAAGGCAACATGTTTAAGAGTGTCCCCCTCTTTTTGTCTGAGAACCACTTTGCGAGAGCTGAATGAGGGTCCTTGTTTTACAAAGCCTGTGGTATCTCCAACAAGGAAGCAACACCTTCATGCTTAGCCAGCTTCACTAGGGATTTTGGTTTCCTTCTAAATTGCTGAGGAAATCCACAGGGTCCACAACATCTACTTGTACATGACAGGTTTATCGCATGTGTTAACATGACAGGCTAGTGTAAATCTGGCTATCAATATGCAAAAACATGGCCAGATCTGTCAACATCTGGGGCCAGAAACATCTCTTAAGTGCTGTTTTAGAATTATAGCACAATAACAAATGTAGCGATAATGAAATGCAGAGTCTGGTACCGTCCAAAATTCAGCAGCTGTGGTATCTGTGATGGAGCTGAACTCTCTTTAAGCTGCTGGTGCTAGAAAGTGTTTCTTGTAGTGAAGCAGAGAAATTCCACACACAGAGGACATAGAAGAGGTAATTATTCTTCTGTGTATGACCCTGGCTAAAACTGCCCATTAACTACCCTTAACTGTAGCCCTCCCCCCTGTGCTACTTCCATTTGTAATACACCTTCAGCTGTGTTTTTCAGTACCAAGGGGAAGCCAAGGTGGTGGCTGTCACGGCTGGTGGTGGCATCACTGGGAGCACAGTTACCTCCTCCTCCAGTCACTGCAGACCCAAGGACACAGGTCTGTATGCAGGTTTTGCTGCGCTCCAGAACTACAAACCAGTTTTCAAACCATGGGTAGCTAACTCCCATGATGGCCCTTCACCACCAGTTAGGAGAGCACTTTCAGAAAGGTCTGAAGTCATCCACTATTTAATCACCTGAGCGTTCCACTTCTCCCATATAATTTTCTCTGCAATTAATTTGATGTGAGGAATTTCAGCTGTTCATTGAGGAGTCTGGAAGACCTAGACCAAATAGCCATTTTTTTCCTCCCTGCTTGTCAGTCTGCAGCCTCCTTGCACAGCAGCTCAGGCCAAAGCCAAGGCCAGTGAAAACTTTTCCTTTCACTTGCTCCTTTCACATCCAGATCACTGCTCAGGAAAACCACATCCTCCACCAGGGCAAGCCCTGCCCCAGGCTACCTTGCCCAGCCCCACTCGGATCTCCAGGGAGGAACTAGCTCCTGCTCCTGGCCAGGCTCCTGTCTCCCAGCTGGAGCTAACACAGCATGCGCCAGCCGCATCCAAGCCCATCCCATGCACACTTCCCATGGCTCATCTTCTTGAATCTTCCAAAAATCATCTTCTGGAATTGTGGGGAAAGGAAGAGGGAAGAAAAGAGAGATGCAAACTCCTTGAGCTGCAATGAGCAGCTTACTACATAAAGGTGTTTGACTGCCTCAGAGAGAACAGGTAAATTTAAGGACCCCACAGTCAAGTTTTTGGTGAGTTTGAAAGCTCACTTTTTATGCTTGTCTCATGCAAAGCTGGAAATAACACTGGCCACACTTGCAACCTACTAAGGGGAAAAACATGTTGAGTAACAGCCAATGCAACTGCAGGGAAATTCGCTGCACAAAAAATTCTTTATCAGAGATCATTTTAGGAAAAACAAATGAATACACATACTTCTACAGTGAAGCCAAACTCCTGCAATCTCCACGAAGGCTTGTGCAGCAACATACCCAAAGATCCCCATCAGCTCATTATAGTCCCTTAGCTGGAGATGATAATTTTTGTACATCAGCCTCCAAAACAGCTGGTGTGAGCTTTCCCTAATCTGCTCCAGGGCAGACTCCACCAACAGCTGAGACTCCCTGCAGTGACAGGCAAAGCTGGACAGGCAGGAGGCTGCTGCTTCTCTACAGATGTTCATATAGCTTTACATATCACTATTTTGGATTCTCCCTCTGATCCTAGATCAAAGAATTGGGAGGAATAAGGAATATCGTTCTAAAATTGGATGGTCCCATCTCTAGGCTGACTGTATGGAAGACAAACCCAGAGACTTCAATACTCCACAGAATCACATCCTAAATCTTTGATCCAGTCTTGAGTCCATTTGAAAGTGATGAAACAGCTCCGAGGACAGAGTTGTTGCTCTAATATTGGAGAAATGCTATGCTGAGTGTGCTATTTTGCCACCTTCTCCAGCTACAGCAGGGGCAGCTCTTAATTACAGGCCCCAGCCTGCTCCTGGCTGGTTGTCAGCCCACTCAGTGGAAATCCCTCCAAACTGCTGGTGCATTTCAAATAAATGGGTCCAATTAGCAAAAGCTTTACAGCTGCAGCTGAAACGGTGGGGAAGGATCATATCAGAAACCAAGCAGGCAGATGGGAGGAGGACAAAGATTCCAACAGGTGATGATGAGCAGGTGGGAAGAAGTAGAGGTGTCAGCTGGAAGAGAAATGTAATCAGCCCCTAGCCTCATGTTAGCACTTCATTTATAGCATTGCTTTCCTGTTCATAACCTTCCCAACTGTGAATTGCAATTTTTCTCCTCTCCTCCCCTTCCCTCCCCACCCCCAGCATTATGGTGATGGTTTGGAACATGGAGATGTTTGGAAAGGGGAAATTTGGCACTAGGAGTTTAAAAAGCTACAGATGACATCCTAAATGTATCTTTTATGAGTTTGGAATGATTCCTTTAAATTAAGCTCAGAGTGTATGACAGCTTCTGGTAGTGCCGCCAATAAGGAAATAAAACAAAATCAAAAGGTTCTTGAGCATATGTAAAGAACTGGACACATTGCTTTTCCTCATGCCACTATGAGCTGCTTATCAAGTGCTTTCCAAGGAAAGTGCTCCAATAATTCTCAATTGTCTCTTCACCACATACGCCCTTGAACCCCAACGCACTTCTGAATTCAAGGCTTATAAAAAATTAAATGCTCCAATAATTCTAAATTCTGTTTGTTCAGTGCTACTGGAGCCTGTCCATTCC